CGAGGGCCCCCCCCACACACACACACACACTCCCCCTGCTCCACCGAGGTTCCATGGTCCTCTACTGAGGTTATGGAGGTCTTCCACAGCACCTACAGCCTCATCTGGACCACCAGGAACTCAACAGCCACCAAGGACTTGGCTTTCAACATCATGTCCCACAACATGGGCATTGAGTGAGTGCATATCCTGGCTGCCGGCCCCTTATCCCCCACATGCCCATAATCTGTCAGCCAATCCATCCCTTCTGCTTCTGGGAGACCAAGCCACACTGACCACCTTTGTGTTCCTCAAATGGGGCTGATCTTTACATAAGCTGGACCCTCTGTCTGCAGTGCTAGTCCCTCTTACTTCTTCTTCAGGCCTTAGTTCAGATGCCTCTTCACCAGGAGGATTTTTCTGACAGTTCTAGATGGGACAGTTGGTTTCCATCCTTCTGTGCTACCCCATTCCCGCCTTGACCCTCTGCCTTTGTTCCCCATCCCAGCCCTGTCTCCTATGAGGTCTGTCTCCTATATAGGTCTAGATTCAGAATAAACTCAACATAATATTTGTGGAATGAGACAATGAACAAGTTTAATTAATTCATGGTAGGCATTATTGACATTTGAGTAGAGGTCTTAATGATGAATTAAACAATGGAGGAGTAAGTTAGTAGGGACTCAATTACTTTTTTGTTGTTGTTGTGCTGTTAATCCTCACTCAAGGATATATTTTTCCATTGATTTTTAGAGAGAGTGGAAGGGAGGGGGAGAGGCAGAGAGAGAAAAACATTGATATGAAAGAGACACATCAATTGGTTGCCTCCCACAAATGCCCAGACCAGGGCCAGGGATGGAGCCTACATGCCCTTGACAGGAATGGAACCCAAGACCCTTTGATCCATGGGCTGACGCTCTAACCACTGAGCAAACCCAGCTAGGGCTCAATTACCATTTTTATTCAATGAAAGGAAGAAAACGATGCCATGAGCAAATGAGAGAAGTGAGAGAATGAACAAAATAACCAACTTGCACCTAAGTCAGCATTCAACCTATGATTGTTGGATAAATGAATAAAGGGAAGAGTAAATGAAGAAAGATGTGACTTTGTACCTAATAGTTGCTGCAAGCCTCACCCACCTTGGTATCTCAGGCCCCTGTCCGCAGCAAGGCTCCTAAGGTTCCACAAACTGTAGGGTCAAGCTCTATTGGTAGGATGAAGGAATGAAGGTAGTAAGGAATAAGTGAGGAGTTGGTACATAAAAGGTGTACAATCCATAATCTAGATCAGGGGTGGGGAACCTTTTTTCTGCCAAGGGCCATTTGGATATTTATAACATAATTCTCAGGCCATACAAAATTATCAACTTAAAAACTAGCCTGCTACATTTGGTCAAAATGTAATTAATTCATCCCTAATGCCTTGGCAGGGCCAGATCAAATTATTCCACGGGCCTTATACGGCCCTTGGGCTGGACATTCCCCACTCCTGATCTAGATGAATGCATAGTAACAGAAGAATTGACAGATGGACATGGAAAGGCAGGAGGAAATGAATGTGTAAACAAATAACCTATCACTTCCTAGGCGTTCAGCCAGCCTTATTGGGTAAATGAATGAAGGAATGAATCAGGTATGAAGTTATAAGATTGTACCTAATTTGTGCTAACTTAAAGTTTTTGGGGTAGAGGGAGAAATCAAGGGTGGGCACGTGCTATGCATGATTTGCAGCACAAATTCCTGAATGTGGGCCCCCAGGTGGCTGTGTCTGGAGAACTCTCCATGCCATGACACCGTTCCCCATAGCATCTTCGCCCCCGAATTCTTCTTCAAGGTGCTGGTGAGCAATAGGTAAGCCAGGCATGTGGCCCAGGTGGGATCAGGGGCTTCCTGTGGGTGCCTGACTCCTCCCCAATCCTTACCCGCTTCTCCCACCAGAGGTGTAGACAAGAGCACATACTGTGACTACCAGCTCACCTTCTTGCTACATCTACACGGGCTTCCACTCAGTGCCAAGCGAGCCCTCTTCATCCTCATGGTGAGTGACTGGCTGCTCAGGAGCTGCCCTGCAAGGTGGACAGGGACCCACCAGGCTGCCCATCCACACCTGTTGTGTGGTATGTGCAGGTTTCAACCAGTGTGTTTCTTGGCCTGGTGATCCTCTACATCATCATCTGCCTCTTGCTGCCCCTTATGTTGAAGATGTGCAATACCCTCCGTTGGAAGATCAACAACATCTTCACATCAGATTCCTTCTATACCTACAGCTCCTCTTCTATAGCCTTCAGCAGGTCATCTGAGACCAAATCTAGTGTTGGCTCCAAAGTTGGCTCCAAGGTGGCAGTGAACAAGGCTGAACCTGAGGAAGTTGTGAAGAAGTCACTGACCTAGGCCGCTTACCTGGCCCATCCACTCTCATTCCTTCCTTCCTGGGCCATCTTTGAAATGCAACTGTCACCCATCCCAAACCTGTCTCTCTGTTTTGCTTAAATTTTCATTTCTCTTTCAGACCACACAGCCGCATAGGTCATTAAAATACCAAAGTCCTTCTGTGCCAGCTGGTAAATAGCGGCTTCTCTATGTGCCTGCCAACTAAGCCCCCCGCTAGGGCGCCCATGACCTCTCTACAGTCCAGCAGGGTCCTCCATGACCCAGGCCCATTGCTATGGCCTGAAGTCTGTTCTGATTGTTCAATACCCAGGTTTTGCACCAGTCATTAAATATTTCATATATCAACACCTATTTGGTATTTAGCTTAAGGAGGGGACTCTGGAGAGGTCAGGATTTTTTTTTTTATAAGTAGCAAAAATTTCACTCAAATAGTCCAAATGGAAATGATAATATATGGATTTTGTCAAGATAAGTTCCAGGTATGGCTTGATCCAGAAGTCTTCAATATCCATAGGATTCTCACTCCATTTCACTGTAGCTTTCCCTCCTCTTCCCTCCTCTGAGTGTGGTCTCTGGCCTCAGGCCAGCCCCCCTCACAATCTGAGGGGACACATCCACGTGTCTTATTGTCCAGAGGAAGGAAGGCCTGGGGTCTAACATGCCCAGGCTGTCAGTCCTGTCAGTCACTCCATTGGATGGGTTGGGTCATAAGCTCACCACTTTACGTCTCACACTGCCAGAGGGATTTGACGTTGAGTGGCTTAGACCAATCAGAGCACACTCCTGCATCTGAGGGCAGTCAGTCTTACCCTAATCTCATGCTTTCTATGAGTATGTGTAATGGCAGTTCTTATCAAGAGGGGAAAGAAGCTGAAAGGCAAAAAGCAAATGCACCTTTGTACTCCACTCCCTGTCTCCCCAGTGGACTCAACTACCGCCCCTCTCCAGAGGTTGCAAGTGAAGTGACTCTGGAAGTCCTCTGACCACCCCCCTTTTCTCTCCGACTCTAGGAGTAGAGGCCCAGGGGACATACACTCTGAAAGGACACCAGATAATACAGCAAGTCCAGCTTGTCCTTGATGATATAGCTCCAGGAGCAGGCAAGGCCACTAAGGTCATGATATTGAGCTTGAAAATTATCAGAGGAGCACTCAGAACTGAGAAGCTGAAGGATGTGGTCAGATATTACAAAGATGTCCTGGTTTCTCTGTGGGGAATGGCTCAAGACTGGAGGCAGAGATCCCAGGAAGCACTAGGCCAGGGACCTGGGCAGAAGAGGATGGTGCTGAACCAAAGCCTGGTTGATAAAGGAGAGGAGGGGGCAGGTGGGAGAGATGCTCAGGAGACCTAGTGAACACACTGTGGGGGTGGTGGCCCATGTAAGAAATAGGAGCAAGGGAGAATTTAAGAAAAGGTCCAGAGCTCTGTCCTGGGTTTGGAAGACAAAGAAACTGTCCCTGAAATGAGGACCAGGGAGAAAGAGCAGGTTTTGGAGAGACACTGAGGCCAGTTGGGGTCATGGTGGGTGTAGGAGGTCTGAGAGACTTCTAGAAAAGGCTATCCAGGAGGCTGCAGGAACCTCAGATCTGGGGCTCAGGAGGAAAGTCAGGGATAGTCAAGCAGTATAAAATAATAGTGAGCAGTACAAATTCATCTATAAACAAAATTAATTGCATTGATTCAATTATGGAGAATGTGATGAAATAACATCCTCTTTTGACCATTCAGGCTGATTTCAACCAGAATCCATGGACACTAGTAGGTAGTGGAATAAATATTTTAAGTTGTGAAAGAAAACAGAAAAGATAGCGGAGGTAAATGTACTTGCTTTCCCCCACATCAAAATTACAACAAAACTACAGAACCCCCTGAAGTCTAGCTGACCAGAACTCCTATAATTAAGGATATACAAAAGAAGCCACTTGAGCCATAGCCGGTTTGGCTCAGTGGATAGAGCATCGGCCTGCAGACTCAAGGGTCCCAGGTTCGATTCTGGTCAAGGGCATGTACCTTGGTTGTGGGCACATCCCCAGTAGGGAGTGTGCAAAAGGCAGCTGATCGATGTTTCTCTCTCATCGATGTTTCTAACTCTATCCCTCTTCCTTCCTCTCTGTAAAAAATCAATAAAATATATTTTTTAAAAAAGGAGCCACTTGAGTGGTAGGAGGGGCGGAGATGCAGAATGGGGTAGTACCACACCCATGTGTGGTGGTTAAAAATCTGGAGGGATAGCCTGAGGTGTAAGGGATCCCAACTCCACACCAGGTTCTCCAGTCCAGGGTTACAATGCCAGGAAGAGAAGTCTGTGAAAACTAAAGGGGATTGCAGCTAAATGAGATCGAGAACTACTAGATCCCAGGCATTCCTCTTAAAGGGCCCACTCATAGACTTACTTGCAGATGGACTTACTCACTCTGAGCTCCAACACTGGAGCAGCAGCTCAAAAAGCTCAAGGGAGCCCAGTCGGCGTGGTTCAGTGGTTGAGCGTTGACCTATGAACCAGGAAGGAGATCATGGTTAGATTCTGAGTCAGGGCACATGCCCAAGTTGCAGGCTCAATCCCCAGTGAGGGTGTACAAGAGGCAGCCAATCAATGATTCTCATTATTGATGTTTTAATCTCTCTC